TAAGTGATCCGCTTAATTTTGGTGCACAGTTTAGTCGCAGAAATACGACACCTGCGTTATCCCTCCCCATCCTCCTCCTGAAGATTTAGTTCGGCTGAATTTGAACATGGACTTACCGACAAATCCGATGCTTCGTCCAAGCACGAAAAGACCGTTCAGCGCTCCAATCTCAATGGTTTCTTGTGCTTCCGCCTGCGTGAACATGCCCGAATATCGAAGTATATCAACAAAAATAATACCAATTGCGCCATCAACATTCAGAATCAAATTTGCTTTCTAGAAATTCATAACGATATGAATGAGGGGAATAAGTTACCAAAACAAGAATTTTTCTGAAAGATAAATAACAACGAAAACACAGCTTCTGACTGTGACCTAATCTCTAAAATATTGCTCCAATGGGGACCCGTTTTGCTTGGCTTTCTGCCATATATTTCTAGAGCAAGCAGCGTTTCTGCAGTATATTTCTGTAGTAATTCTTACTTTAGCCGTTGTTATTTTCTCCACTTTCAGTGCGTAATCCAGTAACGGAGTTTCTTGCTTGAATTTTGCCCGATCGAGTGCAAAATTTTTCAGTATTTCAACGCGCTTATCAGGATTGTTGATCTGAAAAGTACAAATTAATAGTCTGGTTCCGGTATATCACAGTTCAAAGAAGCGCAGAAAGATTTAATCTCAAATTTCCCTGCAACGTAAAAACTTCGGCTTATTAACTTTGCAACTAAAAAAAAGTTAGCTTCACCAATAATGCCAAACAAACTGCGTTTGTTAATACATAGAAGACTTCAGGCCCTCGTTTTCTTCCAATCCGCTAGCCAGGGACATTCACTGGTTTGCATTTTTAAAATTTCTGAAACACTTAACCACACCGGTCGTTGTTATAATATCATATACTAACCGATTTTACACGATGCCCAATACCCATAATGTGCTTGCCAATACGTCGCTGTTCATTGACAAACTGCATCGGACTCAGACCCTTATCAAACGCTTCACTGAATTGCCGTGCTGCGCCATCTAGGGCGCCTCCAAATCTATCGCCCTAAAATACAGTACAGGATCACCATCGTCACAAAATAATTCAAAAAATGTAATGAAATTTAAAAATGTAATGAAATTTAAATTTTAATGAAATTTAAATTCCATAAGATTAAAATTCATGTTTATCTCTACCAACAAGTGAATCTGGAAAGAATGTAATGGAATTTGTAACGAAATTTAAATTTCCATAAAATTAAAATTCATGCTTATCTCTATCAACAAGTGAAAAGAGAGCAAGCAACCCCCCTTCCCCCTACCGCAGAAGTGTGAAGGAAGAAAGCTGGGAAGCTGAATTTCATACCAGTCAAAGAAACTACCGGAAAACTATCCTTGCTACGCCAGTGATGCACAGTTA